AAGGGAGTCAATATACTTGTCAACAAAAGAAGACAAAAGAGGGAAACAAAATCAAGGGAATTCAGAGCAATTTGATAATGATTGTAGTGGATTCCAAAATGATGGTTATTATGAACAAAATGAGGAGGTGCAATATGTGAATAATTATCAAGGCCAAAGGGGCAATTCTTCTAACCAACAACAATGGAGACCCCAAGGCAACTAGGGCAATCAACAACAAGGCAATGGTAATTGGGGGAACAATAACTAAAACAACAACTGGGGCAATCAGAACAACAATCAAAACAACCAAGGAAATTGGAATGGTAATAACAACAATTAGGGTGGTAATAACAATCAAAGTGGATGGAACAATGGAAACCAAGGAAATCGGGGGCAAGGCTTTCAAAGGCCCCCAATGTACCAACAACCAAACAATCCACCCCCATTTCCATCTCAACGTACTAGTTCTTCTATCAATGATATGGGTAGAATTGAAATGATGTTCGAATAAATGATGAAGAAGAATGCGGACTCGGATGCTCAGTTGGCTTCCCATAATACCTCTATCAGAAACTTGGAGGTGTAGTTAGGCCAAATCTCACAGTCTTTAAATACTCTCCCTAAGGGTGCTCTACCAAATGATACGGTAGTGAACCCGAAGGGTGGGAACAATCATGTTATGGAAGTAACAACAAGAAGTGGGAGAGGCAGTGATGTGCATGCCTCCAAACAAAAGCAAATTGTGGATGATGATGTTGAGTTGCAAGAAGATGAAGTTCCTTTGGTGGTTGAAAATGTGATTGATGAAAATGTGAATGAAGAAGTAAGGATTGATATTCAAGATGTCGAGGTGGAAACTCAAAATGATGTGAACCCGTCTAGGGAACCCATAATAGACATGCTAGAGCCGGTTGTGCCTAAAGCCAATGCTCCTTTTCCAAGGTCACCTCCACCTTATCCTCAAAGACTCGCGAAGCAGAAAAATGAGAATCAGTTTAAAAAGTTCATTGACATGATGAAGAGCTTATCCATCAATGTGCCTTTGGTGGAGGCTCTTGAACAAATGCCGGGCTATGCTAAATTCATGAAGGACTTGGTAACAAAGAAGCGGTCTATGGATTGTGAAACTATAAAGATGACTCACCAAGTTAGTGTAATAGTGAATTCAATGGCCCCGAAGCTTGAAGATCCCGGTGCTTTCACCATTCCTTGCACCATTGGGAGTGCGGATTTTGCTAAAGCTCTATGTGATTTGGGGGCTAGTACCAATTTTATGCCCTATTCCATTTTCAAGACTTTAGGTATTGGGCAGCCAAGACCAACTTCCATGAGATTACAAATGGCAGATAGAACGATGAAGAGACCATTGGGTATTATTGTTGATGTGCTTGTCTGGGTGGATAAATTTATCTTGCCAGATGACTTTGTGATCTTGGATTGTGAGGTGGATTATGAAGTTCCTATCATTTTGGGGAGACCTTTCCTTGCTACGAGGAAGGCCTTAGTTGATGTGGAAGTAGGGGAACTCACCTTCCGGGTGGGTGATGAAAACGTGGTCTTTCATGTTTGCAAATTAATGAAGCAGCCCAGCAGTACGGAGGTGTGCTCTTTTATGGACCTTGTCACAGCAGTGATAGTTGATGACACCAATGCAATGATCAATGTGGAGGACCCTTTGGAGGCCTTATTGTTGAATCTTGATGTCAATGATGACGAGGGCCAAGTGGAGTACGTGAATACTTTACATGGGATGTGCTCTTACTCTTATGAGCCTAGGAAATTATCTTTGGACCTTAAAAATAGGAAGACTCCACCAACAAAACCTTCAATTGAGGAGCCTCTGGTGTTGGAGTTGAAACCACTGCCTCCACACCTCAGGTATGAGTTCTTAGGCTCAAATTCTACTTTGCCAGTTATTCTTTCCTCTTGTCTTACTAATATGCAGGTTGATGCCACATTGGCGGTGCTTCAAAAGCGAAAAAAGGCAATTGGATGGACTTTAGCTGATATTCAGGGGATAAGCCCCGCATTCTGTATGCACAAAATTATTCTGGAAGATGATGCAAAGACCTCCATGGAACATCAAAGGAGGTTGAAAGAGGCAATGCAAGAAGTTGTGAAAAAGGAGGTGATCAAGTGATTGGTTGCCGGGGTTATGTACCCCATCTTTGATAGCTCTTGGACTTCACCGGTGTAATGTGTACCAAAGAAGGGTGGCATGACCGTGGTTGCAAATTCATAAAATGAGTTAACTCCTACCAGAACCGTCACTGGTTGGAGGGTATGCATGGATTACCGCAAGTTGAATAAAGTGACCCGCAAGGATCACTTTCCTTTGCCTTTTCTTGATCAGATGTTGGACCGACTTGCTGGGCGTGCCTTCTACTGTTTCTTGGATGGGTATTCTGGGTACAACCAAATCTTGATTGCTCCAGAAGATCAGGAGAAGACCATATTCACTTGTCCATATGACACCTTAGCTTTCTCTAGGATACCTTTTGGATTGTGTGATGCACCGACTACATTTTAGCGGTGTATGGTGGCCATTTTCACTGATATGGTGGAAGACATTTTGGAGGTGTTCATGGACGACTTTAGTTTTGCGGGAGACTCATTTGATTAATGCTTAAAGAATCTTGATGGAGTTTTGGCCCATTGTGAAGAAACTAATCTTGTTCTTAATTAGGAGAAATGCCACTTTATGGTGGAAGAGGGCATAGTTCTTGGGCATAAAATTTCAAAGCATGGTATTGAGGTAGACAAAGGAAAAATTGATGTGATTTCAAGGTTCCCTCCCCCTACATCTGTCAAGGGAGTTCGAAGTTTTCTTGGGCATGCGGGGTTCTACCGGAGATTTATCAAAGACTTTTCGAAGGTGGTGAATCCCTTGTGCAAGTTGTTGGAAAAAGATTCTAAGTTCATATTTGATGAAAAATGTATGCAAGCCTTTGAACTTCTCAAGCGTAAGTTGACCACCACTCTTATCATTACCACACCTAATTGGAGCTTTCCCTTTGAGCTAGCATTTTTACAAGGTTTGGTACTCCTCGTGCAATCATAAATGATGGGGGGTCTCATTTTTGTAATAGAGCTTTCGACACTTTGCTTGCAAAGTATGGTGTTAATCACAAAGTTTCTACTCCCTATCATCCTCAAGCAAGTGATCAAGTTGAAATCTCCAACAGGAAAATCAAAAGCATATTATCAAAGACGGTCAATGCAAATAGGACCGATTGGTCAAAGAAGTTGGATGACGCTCTATAGCCTTATAGGACTGCTATAAAATTCCGATTGGTATGTCTCCGTATCGGTTGGTGTTTGGGAAAGCTTGCCATCTATCGATTGAGTTAGAGCACAAGGCCATGTGGGCTTTGAGGAAGCTAAATCTTGAATGGGATGTTGCAGCAAATCTTCGTGTGGAACAGCTGAATGAACTTGATAAATTCCAATTCCATGCCTACTCCAGTTCTTCCTTGTACAAGGACAAGATGAAGTACCTTCATGATAAATATGCTCGTAGAAAGGAGTTCAAAGTTGGTGATTTGGTTCTTTTGTTCAACTCTCAGTTATGTCTGTTTTCGGAAAAACTTAAGTCAAAATGGAGTGGACCTTTTGAAGTGATGTGTGACCCTGTTTGGTGCACTTGATTTAAAGAACAAAAATGGGGAAGTTTTCAGAGTGAATGGGCATAGGGTCAAGCACTATGTGGGAAAAATTGATTGACAACCATGTGGTGGCACTTCTTCATCTCAAATGATGTGATGGTAACCTGCGTCGTGCCGCGACGTTAAATCAGGCGCTTCTTGGGAGGCAACCCATGTGTTTTTCTTTGTTTTTCATTGTAAGATAGGATTTATTTTTGGACTGACTGGTTGTGAGATGTTACAGGTTTGTGTTGATGTAGTGCAGGACACAGTGAAAAAATTGTCAAGTCTCTGAAGTTTTCAATGCGGACTGCACTACATTGTGTGCGGCCGTAAAGAACTCAGCGCGGGGGGCGCAAAAATCAGTGCGGCCACACTGATGATAGATGAAATGAACAACTCTCTAAAGTTTACCATTGCGGCCACATTGCATTGTGCGGTCCACGGTGGTCTACTGTGGTCGCAGTGCATTTAGTGTAGACCGCAGTGGCTGCCTTGGTCTGTACCTCATGAATTTGAGCAATGTGGACAGCATTGCCATTTTGTGTGGTCCGCATTGGGGTTGTAATCTGGGCCCCAGGTCCATTTCTATAAATAGGGCATGAGGCCCTCTTTTTACACTTTTCGACCTTTTGCTCTCAAAATCGTAAAAATATCACTGTTCATCACAAGAATTGCATGATTTCATCTGTAAAATCTTGATTAATCATCAGCATCTCACATCTGGTAAACTTTTACTTCTTGTTAGTTGTTTAAGTTTATTATTTTCATTTAATTTTTGTCTTCTTAGCTTCCCTTCTATTTTTCCCGTACTTCTTTTGATTTGGTAAAATTAGGTTGGTTAATTTCTTGATTACAGTAGAATTAGGTAGTTAAAAACACTGGGCAAACACTTAGGGACCTTTCTTAGGTATAAAATTGGACTTAAAACCAAAATATATTGAACCCTAAATTAGTGCTGCTTCTAGGTACTTAGTGCGGACCGCAGTGGATTTTGTGCGGTCCGCGGTGCCCTAGTGCGGTCCACAATGACATTTTGTGGGGACCGCATTGCTGAAAGTCCTGAAACTTGATCTTTGAGGACTGCGGCCGCATTGCATTTTGTGCGGTCCGCGGTGCCTCAATGCGGACCGCATTACCATTTTCTGCGGTTCGCGGAGCATTTGTTCAGAGAGTGGGTAGTCTGAACCCCACCTTTGTGCAGACCGCATTGGCAATTTTATGCGGTCCGCATTGGCCTCTGTGCGGCCGCACTACATTTTGTGCGGTCCGCACTGTGCAACCTCTGCTACCGTCTGCAACCTTTTCTTTTCTATAACTGTGAACTTAATTGCTTGTACTGATATTAACAAGTCTAATGGTTGTTGTTTGCAGACAATGGTGAAACAAAGAGGCAAGGGTTCTAAACAAGTTGGTCGAGGTGAATCCTCCCGGGGACGGAAATAGAAAATGATAAAACTGACTCTTCAAGCCCGACAAAACATTAAAAACATGAGGAAGATCATTAAAGCTGCTGATAGGGCCATTGACCAGTCTGGGAGTGAATACGATCCCTCTCGGGATATATCTTCAGACTCAATCCTAGAGTACATTACTGACTGGCCTGGGAGAAACAGACTAAGAGACACTCCTCCACCTTCCCCCTGCCCAAGCGTCAGTAAATGTATCTTCTGGGTCGTCTGAGGTCTTAGCTGAAGGCAGTAGGGATGAATACTCCACCTCTCCCACAACTTCATTATCCGTAGAGGGTGCAGTAGGAGAAGAAGAGGTAGTAGGATAAGGGGGTGAGCCCCAGGTTGGCGGGGTAGAACAAACTAGAAACCCGGAGGTGTGGCAAGACTGCTTTGTGAGCGAGGTGGCCTACCATAAATTCAGAGAATGGTGGCCTATGAGGAAATTAATTCCGGAGAGAAGTTTTGTAGATAGAGACCTTTTGCCTCACAACCCCAATGTGAGAAGGCAAATTAGAGAGAGAGAGAGAGAGAGTGGTCTGGGAGTATTTCTTAAACACCTGTGAGGATGCAAACGAGCACCTGGTCAAGGAATTCTACACCAAAGTTGCCCACATCAAGAAGGGCACCAAAGTGACCAAGGTGCGCAATTTGAAAATGCTATTCGATGGGAAAACCATAAATGATTACCTGGGATTTGATGAGGAGGATGAGGCACTGTATTTAGCAAAGATGGAATTGGGCGAGGAGGTCCGTCCCTGGTTGGCACAGTATCTAGAAATCCCAGGTACCACCCCTGATTGGTTGAATGCGGGCGTAAAGATTTTGAGAAGAAGTTTGAACTTCGAGGCCAAGGGGTGGGAAACATTTGTATGTAGTAGATTGGAGCCCACTACTCATGACAACTCCCTCCCTCTTCACCGGGAAATTTTGGTGGCATCGATCATGGCGGGGTACCTGATTAATGTCGGGAAGGTAATGTCTCGGGTAATTACGCAGGTAGTCAGTGAGGGTGACAGAAACTACCCCTTCCCCAGCTTTTTGACTATGTACTTCAGGGACCTAAAAGTTGAAAAGAGGCCATTTGATATCAAGGTAAAAGCGAAGGCCCCGTTCTCATGGTACAGTATGCAGGGTGAAGACAACTCAAAAGGCAAGAACTTCAAGGGAACAACCACTGCTCCAACTGGCCAGTCTGAAGAGCCAGTTGTGGTAGTGGCTCCACCTCAACGGACATTCCCCCTGGTCCATCTACTTCAGCAGATCCAGATATACCCTCTTCCCGAGCCTACCCAGTGACTGCACACCGACTAAGTCAGGCTCTTCTCAGCATCAACAACTGGATGCAGTCAGCTTTATCCAAGTTGTCTATCCTTACTACTATAGTGGAAGCTTAGTCGGCACCTCTGCCTCCGCTGGTCCCGCAGTCTATTGAGGACGCCCTCAAGGAGATTCTGGCCAATCAAAGGAAAATCCTTGACACCTAGAAAGTGCTCACGGACGTTGTTGATTCACACAACAAGGCTCTCAAGGATTGGATGATTGTATATATTTGACAATTTTTATGATTTCTTAATTTTTTCATCTTTGGTATGTATATAATTTTAGTACTTCAGTACATTTTTTGTACTTTTCATTTTGGGTATGTATATAAAGTTTGTGTTACATTGTATATATTGATCCGCTCTATTGTATATTCGATTAAATCCCCTATTGTAAATATTCATTTCACTTTCCGCATTTTTCTTTTCCGTAGCTTCTTATTCATGATCATAGCTTCTTGTTTTGAACATTTGCAATAAGTCTTTGGTTTTCTTAATGTCACAGTTCTTTCAAAAGGTAGAGTTTGTGTGAACCGGGTGGCTCTTCCCAATGATGGATGGCGTGACAACCTTCTTAAGGGTTTGAGTCTGTTTTTCTTTTTGCTTTTTAGTAGTTAGTGGTAAGGGTGCCTCAAGCAAAGCTTCAATTGGGCCTAGCACATTTGCCTTTGATCTCATGGTCAAAAACAAATTGTTGTGTTTAGGATGGTGAAAGTCATGACCTTGAGACTCTTGTGTTGACCGATAATCATCAAGTGGGTTTTTGGGACCATTGTGTGCTCAAATCTTATCTAAGGTCATTGTGGGCCCCCGACCCTATGTCTTTAGTGATCCTATAGCTTGTGTGGTGAGAAATTACATTGCAAGTCCAAGTCCTGAGCCATTGATCTAGAACTTGCCCTGAATGTTTGTTGAGGCGAAATCCTGAGCGAATTTTGACTTGAGACATGATTATAGGCTCTCCTTGATCCAAATGATAGCTTGAACACTTCCATAGCCAACCAATGATAAAATCCCTAGTCAACCCTTTTGAGCCTTAGAACTTGTTCCTTCAAGAACCATGATACAAACCTTTACCCATTCTAAAAGATACCCTTTCTTGGCACCCGATCTTTCCTTTAGCACATGGCAAAAGTCTAAGTTTGGGGGGAGAGACGAGGATTGCAACAAAGTGGTAAAAAAGTATTAAAATGAAGAAAAGGAAAGGCAATGACAAAGAAAGAAAAGTAAAAAGATAAAAAGAATGTTCAATGTGTAAGAGAATAAAAAGGGATTTAAGAAAAGCAAAGAATGAAAGGTGTGAAAAGTTGAGAAAGGAGAAAAGATTTGAAATGTATAAGAAAGAGTGACAGTGTGTCTCTCTAACCCCTTAGAAAGAAGTGAAAAGACTCAAAAAGTCAAGTGAATGTGTGCCAAAATGAAACAAAAGAAGTGCTTAAGGGAAGATGGATCTTACTTAGACCAAGCATTGCCTACCCAGAACCAAAAGCCTTCACTATTTCTCCACAAAAGCCCTATATGATCTCTAGTTGAATGAAACTTACATTAGTGGTGACTCACATAAGGGGCAAGCATATTGTACTTAGAGCTGTACTTGTGACTTTTCCTTGAGAGAGATGACTGATTTTCCATTAACCTCATTTTGAGTGCCACTATTCTAAAGGTGAGGTTTGCTTAGGGAGAGCTGAGGATGTGTGAGTTTGGATTCCACAATGACCAAAGTAATAGAAAGAGTTCTTTGATTTGTTGAGTCAACTCTTGATGCTCTTGTGTCGCACTTAATCCATAGTGTTTAAAAGAGTAAATGTTGTTAATGATCCATTTGTATTGAGGGCAATTGTTAGTCCCAATTGAGGCTAGATGAGGTCACTTTAGGATAGCTAAATTTTCTTGGATTTTCTCTTAAGGGGTGGGTCTTATTTTGTTTGCTTGAGGACAAGCAAAAGCTTCAGTTTGGGGGAGTTGATAACTAGGAATGTTGATACATTTTATACTCCTTCTTTCTTAAGTTTTGATTAGAAATGTGTACAAAATAGTCCCAAAGGCTCACAAGTTGTGCTTGATTGCAGGTTTGATCAATAAGGTGACAAGATGTCAAAGATCAGCTCAAAAAGGAGTGAAACTTGCACAAGTACCAAGACAAGACAAAGCTCAGGAAAAACAAGGCCAATGCGGCCGCACACCATTCTGTGCAGTCCACAGAAGTGAGGTTCAGAAAGTATGCAACTCAGGCAAAACAGGCAATGCGGCCACATGGGTTTTACTGCGGTCCGCATTTGGAGTCACTATGGCCGCACTCAATTTAGTGCAATCCGCAGTTCCAAGAATCAGAGAAGTGCCAGTTTGGAGTTTGAAGCCCACTGCGGTCCACGCTCCATTTCATGCAAACCGCACAAGAAGCCACCGCGGCCGCACTCCATTCTGTGCGGTCCACATTGCTCGAGTTCAGAGAGCTGGATTTTTATGTCAAGAGCCTTAGTACGGCCGTACTAGCCCCGCAGGGATATTTTTGTCCAGATTTTTTAGCTTAGTATAAATAGCTTGTTTTCCCATTTTTAGGTTATCAGATAGTTTTTGTACTAAGCTGCGCTCGTGACTTCCATTTCTTTAGCTATTTTGGGCAATTTTAGCTTCATTTCAACATTGAATCTTTTAGTTTATCTTAGCAATTAATTAATATGAGTTTTTCTTCATCTATTTCTTTGTTTTCTTCTCTAATTATGAGTACCTAGACCCATAAGCTAGGGTTGTGGCTCGACCCTAGTATGGGTAATTGATGGATCTTGTGTTTTGATGCTTGATTGTCTATGAGTGTTTGATATTTGGACTAATTTCATGTTTAATTACTGAATTGGTGGTTGCAAACACTAGTTTGTGTTTAGTTGACTTTGACTCTTCTTGAGAAAGAGAGTCTGAGTCTCTGAAATTGGTCCGACAAGGACTTGGGGCGTACTCAAGAGATTGATAGCCCCAATTAAAGGGTTAAATCTAGAGATAGTAATACCTGACTTGAACCTTGATTGCTTGTGCAAATTTGCATACCAAATTGATCTTGAGAAAGTCAATCCGGGCAAAATCACTCGAACTACCGAGAGGTGTAAAGTGAGTAGAATCATGCAATGGTTATATCATAATTCCCAAATGTGTCAATCATGCCTTAGACTCTAGTATCCGTCAATTGACCACCTAATCGAAAGTCACTACCCTAGTGCCTTTTAACCATTTCAACAACTCGCAATAGTTTACTCTTAGCTTATTCTAGTTTAATTGTGCATTGTAGTTTATATAATTAAAAGTAAATGAAAACCCAAAAATGTTTAGAAGTGCAATCTGGAACACATACACAACTCCACTTTAGATAGACACCCGACTCCAACTTCTAGCTCCCTGTGAAAATCGATCCCGACCTTAATCAGGTAAAAGCTACTTCGACCCTCTCTCGCTACTCAATAGTGGTGCAGGGTTGGCCTCGATCAGCACCCACCTGAATGTTGTGGCTGAGGAAACTAAGACTGACCCTGGTGACCTGAATGACTACCCCAAAAAATCTGGAGCGGCGGTGCACTAATAGAAGCTGGTGGTGCACTATAGGGCTGCTGATCAGAATACTGCATATGAGAATCACGACCACCTGAAGTGCCGTGAGAAACCTGAAGTGCTGACTGAAAGGGCC